CCCATTGGAGGAATGAGGACGAACGCCAGGGTTGGGAGATCCCTCCTACCCCTTGGATTGTTGTAGATGGTTTATCTAGAGGCCATGTGCGAGGCCACGAGCCTGCGGATATTACTGATACATCAGCTCCTGTATCGAGGATACCCTGCTTTTGTTTCCCTTGTATGGTGAGGTTTCGTAGGGGCCTGTCAGTGAGGCTAGCTACCATAAAGGCAGCTGTGCCCGTTGATCCGAGGCCCCCGGTTCGGGATGGTTGCAAAACCGGATTGTTGGTCTTAAAGAGGGGAAGTAACACTAGTTGAGCAATGCGGGTCCCTTCCGGGACCACTGTAATACCTTGAGGGCTATGAGCAAGCACTTTAAGTTCTCCTGTATAATCCTTGTCTATAACCCCTGGAACAACAAATAATCCTTTAAGGGCTGTGCTGCTTCTTCCCAGGAGCATGCCTACACAGGAAAGAGGGAGTGGACCATAGACGCCTGTAGTAATGGCCTGTACTCCCATCTGTGGGGTGAGTATTACTCGCTGGTTGGTGGAAATGTCCAGGCCGGCACTGTGGGGTGTGGCTCGGATGAGCCGCTCAATTGACAGCTTAGTGGGGCGCCCACCGAGCCCAGCGGGAGGCGGCCAAGCAGGAGCCGGAGGAGGGGCCCGGCTCACAGCGCCCGCTGCGCTCCCTCCTGCTGCCGCCAGGGACCCACGCCGCAGCTCTAGCTATAGCGCCTCCCGCTTCTGCCTGTGCCCCCAGCCCGCCCTCAGGTGCCCGCAGCCCAGTGGTGCGGCTGAGGCGACTGTGCTGCCACCGGCCGGGGGTGTTCGGGGTAAGCGTGCACGCCCACTGTGGCCGCGGACGCTGCTGTGGAGGCGTCAGAGCACAGCCGGCCGAGGGTCCCGGGGACCCCAGGAGGGCTGCTCCGTGGAGCTTCATTCACACAAAAGGGCCAACAACCCTCCTCTGTTTCCCCTTCTATTTCTGCCCCGCTGCTTGTGTCGAGGGATCTAAAGGATGAGAGGTCAGGGTATAGGGGCCCGGACGTCTGTTCCCCTTTCTCCTCCAGTGGCTCAGGAGGATCCTGAGTCCCCTGACACTCGGCCTGTGCTCATTCGAAATCCTCCCGCACTTTCTCAAGTTCTTTTTGAGCGACCTGAGCCGGACGGGGAGGGCGTCTCGAACTGCTCTCCATAACGAGAATGCCCAGGTGGGGAAGCCTTGGGGGCCCTTCCGCCTCAACTCATCTGTCAAATCTTGTTTTACTCGTTCCCAATCGTGGGGATTTAGAGCTCCCTCAAAGGCAAACCCTGGACTGCTCTCCTGCACTAGTCTTATGAATTCCTGTAAGGTCGAATCATGGACCTTCATTCCATGCTGCTTCAGCAGCGCCTTAAGGCTGTTAACTTACTTTGTTGACCACCCATCTTAGGGCGTTTGGGGTCTCTTGGACGTTTGGGTGGGTAGTGCACTTACCCCGATTGTGGACTTATGCGCGCCGCCTCCACGATCCGAAGACTGTCTCGCTCCTGGTTCCTGGAGCTACACCGATCTCAGTGGGACCTCCACTTGACACTGCCCGACCAGTGGGCGGTGTCAGGGAGTTCGTGATCGGTGTATGAGAGGGAGAAGAAAAGGGTGGACACAATCACACAACCACTCATACAGTATAGGAAGAAGGCTGAGCCGAAGCTGTTTATTAGGGATCGCTACAATCTTATATAGGGTTAGTTGAGGGGGCGTGGTTACTTCATGAAGCTGAATCTATAAGGCTAGGAATGTAGTCTTTGGCCGATGATAGGTTTAAAATGTGAGGGGAGGGCGGAGGGGTTATGCTGTTCTGACGGGAGGGGCCCTGCGCTATGCTCTGCGTTTCTGTCTAAGTCTTGTACAATGTAGCTAGTTCTATCCAGTTTTCTTACCAGTACTGGTCTTTTCATCTGGCCTTTTCACGTGGGGGTTGAATTAGCCTAGCACTTCCTCTTAGGATGTAGTTTAATATTTCTGTTAACCCTTACATGTTTTGTTTTGCTTTTTTTTTTTTTTTTAATTGTTGTAGGGTTTTGTTACTCCAGGAATCAGCCTGAGGTACATATAAACTGAAAGTCTTCTGATTTCTTTTCTAGGCCTGTTCTTTTCTCTGGCCAGGTGCAGTGAATTTGAACTCCTTACCTCCATGCAGTTGCTTTTGAATGTCTTTTTTTATCCTTAAATGTAAGGCTCTGTGAAGCAGAAAAATGGAAATGAAGAGAGAAAAAAAGTGGGCACTGTACCTTAAATCCTGTGGAACCTACATCAGCTCAGTGGGCATTATAACAGCAGCAGTCTGCCTTTCTGTCTGAACCTTTATGAGCCAATGCAGTAATCCAAAGTCAGAACCTAGATCCCCATTATTTGAGGAAAAGGAACCTTATTGGCTCTTTGGCTCACAAGGAATGGTAGGGTGGCTGCCTCCTTTGGGGTTATAGGCCTTCCTATAGAAGCTGCAAGCTTTCAGATAGATGACAGAATTTCAAAACAGTTGTATCAGATTGTGCCAGCTCAGTTATTATTGTCTAGGTGGATGGACAAAACTCTGCTGCTTTCTACTCTGCTTTCAGGAAAGAAGGCATCCATTTTTGTTTTATCTCACATGTATTTTAAAGTTTCAGCATTCTGTCTTCAAGTAAAGTTGAGGGTGAGGTCCTGCATGAAAAATTCACAGTTGGGTCAGTGCCTGTAGCTCAGTGGCCAGGGCACCAGCCACATACACTTTAGCTGGTGGGTTTGAATCCAGCCTGGGCCTGCCAAACAACAACAACAACTACAACCAAAAAATTGCTTGGGATCGTGGTGGGTGCTTGTAATCCCAGCTACTTGGGAGACTGAGGCAAGATATTTGCTTAAGTCCAAGAGTTAGAGGTTGCTGTGAGCTGTGACGCCACAACACTCTACCTGGAGCAACAGCTGGAGACTGTCTCAAAGAAAAAAAAAAAACTTCACAGTTATGAAGTTATTTCTTATTATTTGGATAAGAAACTGTGATAGGTTGGTTGCCACTCATCCAGCATTATCTTCAGCTACTCAGAAGGCTTTAATCTTTGCTCTTTAAATGTAAGTTTTGTCATTTAATAAGTATGTCTTAAAGTAAGTATATTTTACTCATGTCTTTTGTGTACTTTTTTTTTTTTAAATTCATTTTCAAAAACCAGAGTTTAGGGCAGCACCCATAGCTCAGTGGTTAGGACACTGGCTACATACACTGAGGCTAGTGGATCTGAACCTGGCCCAGACCAGCTAAAACAACAAGACAACTGCAACAACAACAACAAAAAATAGGTGGGCATTGTGGCGGGCACCTGTAGTCTCAGCTACTTGGGAGGCTGAGGCAAGAGAATTGCTTAGGCCCAAGAGTTTGAGATTGCTGTGAGCTGTGATACCATGGCACTTTACCCAGGGCAACAGCTTAAGGCTCTGTCTCAAAAAAATCTCCCCCAAAATGGAGTTTTAAAATTATAGCTTTCTTAGTAGGTATAGTCTTTAATAAGAAAAAGATTAACCCATTCAGAACAGAAAGTAGAAGGAAACAGTTTTTAGCTTTATTGTGGAAAAGTTTAAACATATATAAAAGTAGTATAATGAATTCCCATGTATTCATCATCTAGTTTCAATAGTTATCAATTCATGGTCATTTTTGTTTCATGTATACCAGTGGTTTTCCACTAGGGATGATTTTGTCATTTTTCAGTATCTTGAAATATTTTTGCTCCTCATACCCTTGGGAGGAGTTGAGAGGGAAGTTGCTACTGCCATCTAGTGGCTAGAGGACAGGTATACTGTTAAATAGTCTACAGTACACAGGGCAGCCCTATACAAGAAAGAATTATCTAGCCCAAGATGTCAGCTGAGGTTGAGAAATACAGCACTGGCTTTATGCACTGACATTTTTATAACATTGAGTCCGTCTGTCCAAGAATGAGAGGTCATTGGTATTTGTTGAAGTATACTTTAATGTCACTCAGGACTGTTATTTCATACTTGTTTAAAATTTATTTCCCTATTTTTTGTTAGTATAAATGAAGCCTATTGATTATAATATTTTGACATATTATATTCTGCTACTTCACTGAATGAGTTTTTATCATTGATTCTCTGGGATTTTTTTCAGATATTATCAGCATATATCAGATATTATCAGCAGATAGAATTTCTACTTTCTGTTTACTCATCCTTATGTTTCTAAATGATTTCTCTTTTCTGATTGCCCTGCTTAATACATATAGTACAGTGTTAAATAGTAGGGAAAGTAGTGGATATTCTTGCCTTGGTCTTGATCATAGTGGAAATACCTATAATGCTTCTTCATTAAATAAGGTAGTAGCTTAGGTATAGCTTAAGGTATACTAAGACTAAGGTATATGTATTTTATCGTGTTGAGGAAGTATCCCTTAATTTCTGTTTTTTAGTGTTTTTTATTATTGGTGTAGAATATTAAAGGTTCTCTCAGTATCTTCAGATATTTATTATTCCCTTACATATATACATTATAATATACCGTAATAAGTATTATACTAAGGGGATAATAAGCACAAAAGAAGTGGTACACAGAGGTGTTAACACTTGAACTGAATCTGAAGGCTGCAAAGGAGGTTAGCATAGAGCAAAAAAAAGGGAATATACTTAAATTAGAAATAACAGAAATGAGGTAACTTATGAGTCTAGCATAGGCTTTAGAAACCAAACTACATTTCCTAATTCATACTATGTCCCTCCTACCCTAATTCTTTCTGTCCATTCTCCTGATCACTTTTACACTCTCGCCCTCCTTAAATGAACATGCTTTATTCTTTTGTTCACTCTAGAGTTCAGCTGTCATAGATGATTATTTTATATCCAGTGCTTTATTTTTTAGTACCTTTTAGCTACATGGCAAGCCCTTATCAAGATACCATTAATCTTTATTCCTTTTACACCATTAGTCTCAGCCAATCACATGAATCATTGGCAATTGCTTTTTTTTTCTTTTTCCAGGATTTAAGAGTAGTCCCAAACCCACAAAATCAACTCAAACTCAAGAGCCATTTCAAGGGATGAGGAAAAATCTCAAAAGGGATGAACCCAGGGACTTCATGTTAGAAAAACCCTGCATATATGAAGACAAATTAAATAAACAAGACAAAAATGAAAGTTTACAAATAATTTCAATCACCCATACAAAAATCTTCACTGTAGATGGAAACCATAAAAATAATGAATTTGGCCAAAACTGCAACCTGAAATCAGTCTTCATTAAGCAACAGAGATTTTCTAGGGAAAAAACATTGTCAAAATATGAAATACAAAGAAAAAGCTTCAAGCAGAATTCAAATATACATAACCAACCAAAGATCAAGACAGCAGAGAAACGCTATAAATGTAATACATGTGAAAAAGCCTTCATTCACAATTCATCCCTTCGTAAACATCTGAAAAACCACACTGGAGAGAAATTATTTAAATGTAAAGAATGTTTAAAAGCCTTCACCCAAAGTTCTGCTCTTATTCAACATCAAAGAACTCATACGGGAGAGAAACCCTACCTATGTAAGGAATGTGGGAAAGCCTTCAGCCATAGTGCATCCCTTGGTAAGCACCTAAAAACCCATACTGTGGAGAGATCCTATAGTTGTAAAGAATGTGGTAAATCTTTCAACCGAAGGTCAGGCCTGTTTTTGCATCAGAAAATCCATGCCCAAGACTATCCACATAAATATAATCCGGGTAGGAAGGCATCCAGTTGTAATACCTCTCTTTCTGGATGTCAAAGAATTCGTTCCAGAAAGAAGTCCTACTTATGTAACGAATGTGGCAATACCTTTAAGTCTAGCTCATCCCTTCGTTATCATCAGCGAATTCACACTGGAGAGAAACCTTTCAAATGCAGTGAGTGTGGAAGAGCCTTCAGTCAGAGTGCATCTCTGATTCAACATGAAAGAATTCACACTGGAGAAAAACCCTATAGATGTAATGAATGTGGAAAAGGCTTCACTTCTATTTCACGACTTAATAGACACCGAATAATTCATACTGGGGAGAAATTGTATAATTGTAATGAATGTGGGAAAGCCTTAAGTTCTCACTCAACACTTATTATTCATGAGAGAATTCATACTGGAGAGAAACCATGTAAGTGTAAAGTGTGTGGGAAAGCCTTCAGACAGAGTTCAGCTCTCATTCAACATCAGAGAATGCATACTGGAGAAAGACCCTATAAATGTAATGAGTGTGGGAAAACATTCAGGTGTAACTCATCCCTTAGTAATCATCAGAGAATTCATACTGGAGAGAAACCATATCGATGTCTGGAATGTGGAATATCTTTTGGACAAAGTGCAGCTCTTATACAGCATCAGAGGATTCATACAGGTGAAAAACCTTTTAAATGTAACACATGTGGGAAAACTTTTAGACAGAGCTCATCACTTATTGCACATCAAAGAATTCATACTGGAGAGAAACCCTATGAATGTAATGCATGTGGGAAACTCTTTAGCCAGAGGTCATCCCTTACTAATCATTATAAAATTCATATTGAAGAGGACTCCTTGAAAGCAGATTTGCATGTGTGAAAGCCTTAAACCAAAGCTTATCAGAGGATACATAGTTGAGATTGAAACACATATAATGAATATGAGGAAACTATTTTAGTTTAAAGTCCTTATCAGATACTAAGTTTTAAGGTTAAACCTTGACTATGTAATAAATATGGGGGGAAAGTTTCATACTTGTCACTCACTTTTTAAAATATCTTGAGAGAAACAATTCACAAGTACAGACATTGGTATTGGCCATTTGTAAGATAAAATGCTTTTGTCTCTGTTTATACAGTAATGTATGCTATATGTGACATGTAAACATGAGAATATTTGGGGTGTAGAGGTGCTGGATTTCTTATTAGAAAAACAGCAACTGTATAAGCTGCTAGCATATTTATTATAACTAATATTTTAATAGCTAACAAAAGAATTGATCTTGAGAATATATGCATTTTTAGAGCAAAGGACCAAATAAAGGAAAAAACTGAAAACCCCCTCTCAGTGTCTGGAATTTATCTCTATCTCTTTCTGACATGTTTTTGGACTTTGTTCATGGCTTTCATTAAAAAGAGAAAGAATTTGTTCATGTGTCTATAGACCATGCACCTATCTTCTTCAGAGAAGCTTCTGTTCATGTCTCTTGTCCACAATGAAATGGGATCACTAGGGTTTTTTTTCGAAATAAGTTTGAGTTCTCTGTGAATTCTGATTATTAGACCTTTGTCGGAAATATAACCTGCAAAAATCCTCTCCCATTCTGAGGGCTATTTGCTTTACTTAGTGTGTTCTTGGCAGTACAAAAGTTTTTTAATTTGATCAGATCCCAGTAATGTATTTTTGACATTGCATCAATTGCCTGGGGTGTCCTCATAAAATATTCTCCCAGGCCATTTTTTTCAAGCATTTAGCCAGAGGTCATCCCTTATTAATCATTATAAAATTAGGGTTAGGGGTTAGGGTGCATACTGGAGAAAGACCCTATAAATGTAATGAGTGTGGGAAAACATTCCTTAGTAATTCATCCCTTAGTAATCATCAGAGAATTCATACTGGAGAGAAACCATATCAATGTCTGGAATGTGGGATATCTTTTGGCCAAAGTTCAGCTCTTATTCAACATTGAAGGATTCATACTGGAGAGAAACCCTTGAAGTGTAACACATGTGGGGAAACTTTTAGACAAAGTTCGTCGTGTATTGTACATCAGAGAATTCATACTGGAGAGAAACCCTATGAATGTAATTAATACATGTGGGAAACTTTTCAACCACAGGTCATCCCTTACTAATCATTATAAAATTCATATTGAAGAGGACTCCTACAAAATAGATTTGCATGTTTGAAAGCCTTAAACCAAAGCTTATCAGAGAATATATACTCAAGACTGATGTAATAATAATGGGTATGAAAAACTCTGTAATAATTTAGTCCTCATTAGATGTTAAATTCCATGGATGATCTTTGATTATGTAATAGGAAGAAAGACACTTTTAAAAATAACCAGAGATGAAGAATTTACAACTGAAGACATGACTTTGGTCATTTATAAAATGTGTTTGTTTTCCCTCTTAATACCCCTACTGTATGCTAGATATACGTGATCATAAGAAACATGTAAGTAGGTAGGGAAGTGTGCTCTGGATTTTCTCTTTAGAGAAAACACCAAAGTGTTTATATGTATACTGGTAATATTTTTTAAATAACATTTTAATAGCATATGAAAGAATTAATCAAAGAAAGTATGCATTTTTAGAGAAAAGGACCAAAATAGGAAAAAATGAAGTATAAACTACCTCTCAGCCTCTTGGTTTGTCCTTTTCCTGGCCTAATGTCAAACTTTATGCATGAATTTCATTAAAAAACAGAAAAATTAAAATCTGGCCTTTTTTGTTCTGGTAATTGCTGTGAATTGGGAATTTTCTTCTCAATTTCTAAGTCTACTCAGAAACTTTTTTGTTGCTTAGAAGTCATATTGTATACCTGCTATGTAGCCTTAGAACTGTCAGCTTAGATGTATTAAAGAGAATAATAGGCAGTTATTTCAAGTCTAAAGCTACAGCAAAAGGACCTATGAGAAGTTTAAAAATTCTAACACCTACGGCAAAATCTTGAAAAGGACAATGCTGTAATCTGAATGTTGTATTCTCCCAAATTTACATATTAAAATCCTAACCTGCAAGGTAATGGTAGTAAGAAGTGGTGCCTTTGAGGAGATGATTAGGTCATCAGAGTGGAGCCTCATGGATAGGATTAGAGGGAAAAGAGGCCCAAGAGAGCTTGTTCTACCCTTCTACCATATGAGGACCCACCAAGAATATACCTTCTCTGAACCAAAAGAGAGCCTTCACCAGACACCAAATCTGCTAACACCTTAATCTTGGACTTAAAGCCTCCAGAGCTAAATAAATAAATAAATTTCAGGAGTTTAAAAGTTATCCAGTGTGAGGTATTTTGTTACAGCAGCCTGAACATACTAAGATCGACATCAGTTATTTGATAGACTCAGTAAATGGAGGGGAGAGGTTGTGTATTTTCATGAGAGGGGTATAGCAGTCCTGGGGGTATTACAATACTAGGTCAATATGTGTAGACAAGCTCGTATTCTATCTCCTTCCTCCAGAAAGCCATTTGATATATTGTCCTTGAACAGAGACTATATCAGGTATTAAACTGATAAGAACAAATATTGTGCTTGATCTTAGCCAAAAGACTGAGAAGCAATCAGTGATTAAAAAAAACAAAACAAAACTAGAGGAGGTACTTTACTGCCCACTACAAGTTGTAGGAAGAAAGGCCTTTCTTTAGGATGCCATGAATTAGGGGTGTGGTGTGGTGTTGAGGGACTAATAAATGAGTAAGCAAATTATATCACAGTATATAAATGTTTTAATAGACAAATAAGTTATGACAGTATGTTGCAGTATCAGAGTATTGAAAAATATGCACAAGATGAAGATAGAGACATCAAGGGAGCCTGAAGACATGAAAGTTTTCCAGAGGCAGTGATTGATGCCTAAAACAAGTTTGGAGAAATATTACTTTTCTGAGGGTGAAGTAAACATTCCATATAAGAGGAAACTGTGCCAGAGTAGAGGTGAGTAATACTGACATGTTTGGGAAACTTAAGTGTAGAAATAGCAAGAGAATGATAGATGCTAAAGCTTGAGTAGAAAGCAGAGGCCAAATAAGCATTATTTGCCATGCTAAAGAGTTTGGATTTTATCTTATAATCGATAGGGTTAAAAATGTTAACAAAAGGAAATTGTAGTGACAATGTGTAGAGGATAAATTTAGGGAGGTTGAAGAAAGCTGGACAGACTGATGCTTAGAAATCTGGGCTATTATAATAAAAGGGTCCAAACTCAAGTAGGAACAGTATGGATGGAGAATATGGGACAGATAATCATGTATTAGAATAAAACATAGTTTGCAAGCAAATAAGTGATGATAATGAGAGGGGGAAAAGCTAAGCTAACTCACAGGTAGTGTTGCCAGATAAAGATGTCCTGTATTTAATGATTTTGTCCTATATCTAGTATTGACTTTGTTAGGACACACTAAATATATTCAGAGATTTTTTCTAGTGAAAAATCAACACATAGAGCTGTTTTTCTGCTTTGGTAATTGGCATTTAAATCACTAACACAAATTAGAAATCATACTTAAGTGTTTTACATACCAGCTAGAAATCTTACTTCTGCAAATAAAGATCGGAAAAATCCCTCCTGGTCTCTCCTAAGGGACAATAAAAAGGGTTAACTGGGAATAAAGTAGTTGTTTTCCATATTAAAGGAAAAGACTTCTTTTGGCCAAAGTCCCTAGTCATAAATAATCCCCAGTAATTAGATTTTTTGATCAGTACAGGTGCTCTAGAAATCATTCAGCAACAGCCTCACTCTAGTGGCTGTGTTTCTGAAAGTTAGCAAGTTAACTACAGCCTCCAGCTTCTGAAAGTCAGCCAATTAGTGACTGCCTCATGTTTCTAGACGTCAGTCAGCCTCAGTCCAGTGGCCATGCTTGTGAAAATACCCCAGTCAATAAGAGTTACTACAGCAACCAAGCTACCACACTTGAAAGTCTGACCATCCATAAGCACTCCTCTGCTTCTGTAAATCCGCCAATCCCTGGGCATCAAGCTTCCAGAAACCTTGGAAGAAATAAGCTCTGGCTTTCATCAGGGAAACTTTTCCTTGCAAATAGAGCTCTCATTGCAAGCACCCATGAAGTTTACCTTTTCTATGTCACATACCAAGTTCAGTTTGTTAGTTTGTAACTTTGCAACCATTTCAACAATTCAACCCCAGTTTGTTGTTAGTTATGCTTCAATCTTGTGAGTGGATACCAGTATTTTTGATTCTTGTGGTGATATCTATTTTTTGAATTTTGTAGTTTGTGTTAAGAATACATAGTATGAGATCTGCCTATTTATTTTTGGTGTATATTTGAATCCTGAATGCAAGTGAAAATTTCATGATTAATTTTCAAGACATTGGGTATCTTAAATTAGAGGAAAGTCCTTTTGAAGCTTTTTCTGCAGTATACAGTTGTTTATTCAATATAAAAAAATGACAAAAAGTAAGCTGGAAACCAACATATACTAACAGCTAAGCCTAAAATATATGTGATTTCCTCCACTACTAAAGAAAGGGATAAAGGATAAGATTTCTGATTAAAAGAAATAAAGATGAAAATAAAATAATCACAACAGAAGTTGTAATGACCTTCCACAGTGTATATCATTTCATCAATCTTTCCAGTGCAAGTGATCAGTAGAACATATTAAAATAATATCTAATTCTAAAATTGCAAACAAATTTTCAAGTGCTAGGATAAAATCCACTGTAATAATAAAATAATCACTATTTGCTATGGCAGAGATCATTAAAAATATAAAATGCCCTATATTTTTATAATATAGCCCAGATGCAAATAATCACAATGATACAAAAAATTTTCCCTTTTGCTTATGCAATGTTCTTCTTTTGAAAAATCTTGCTTATAGGGCTATCTTATCCCTTCCAAATTAGACCTCAGAAATACAAAATTTTTGCTGAATGCAATTGTTAATAAGAAACGTTTACTGCTTTGGTGGATGTAACATATAATAAATACAAATTTATTATATTTGTAGTAATACTTATTTGTAGATGTGTAGCAAGAGCTGACAATATTTATTATATTTGTATATGTGTAGCAAGAGCCAACAAAGACAAAAGACCCCAGGCACCAATTGGAAGAGGAAGTGGCTTTATTCACCAGTCGGGAGACTCAGCGGACTAGTGTTCCAAAAATCGAACCCCCCCCACCCCCAACTCAATCTCTGGTCTTCCTTTTATACATTTTAGGGCTTGGGTGCATGTGAAAGTCTTGTGATTCAAGGAAAGGTCAGGTTGGCCCATGCCCTTGATGCAAGGCAGGCCAACTGTCCTCAAAGATGACAGAAGGTTAGGGAAGTTACAAGGTTACTACATAGGTCCAACATGTATCCTCTGAAGGACATATAGATAACAGAGACATCTACTGCAGTAGGGGTAGCAATTAGTGGCTTTCATACAAGTCATAGACTGCCTGGCTAATGCCTGCACAGAGTTATTAGAACAGAGTCTAGCTCTGCTTTACTCACTTGCCTTAGATGCATAAAAGTACATTTTGGGCCAGGTGTGGTGGCTCACACCTGTAATTTCAGGACTTTGGAAAGCTGAAGCAGGATGATCACTTGAGGCCAGGAGTTTGAGATGAGCCTGGGTAACAACAAGGCTCCATCTGTACAAAAAGTAAAAATGAAAATTACCATATAAATGATTTTCATTCAAAATTAAAGCTAAGCCTGGAGTATTGAAAGTGTTGGCTATCCTGCCCGTATTCTGCATCATGCTATACAGAAAACATCTTGATATCTGGTATACTGACCCTGAAATATTCCTCTTTGGCGTTCAAACAGTTTTAATTAAGCAGTTAAAGAATTTTTATGATTTTGGTGGCATTCAGTATTCTTTAATTCATTAGCACTCTGAAACTTGTTGAGATTTCCAGTGTTAGCTGTGATATGTAAATAGCTTGGAAGTGATCACTGCTGTCCTTGAAAGAAAAAGCTGGACAAACTGAAAAATAATAACTTTCATTTTATCTTTCTGAGAGCTGAAGGTGAAACACTGAAATCTGAAAAGACAGATATCAAAGGTGCAGCCCATATTTGCCGACTTGGAGCAGAAGCTCCTGGAGCCATGAGCTGGTAAGAAAACAAATGGTAATTATGAATTGCTAGAGGTTGAGTATGGACCAGACTGAGAGTGAGAAACTCCTGGGGGCCATAGTCTTAAGGAGTCCCCTATAATTCCATTGCCATTACTTCCAGGATTCCTACAAAACTCACAAGGTGAAGATCCAAGAAAGATTCCCTCAGGGCGCTGGCACAGAAAGGTAAGTAACCATTGTGAAATATAGAGCCTTCCATAAAAAAGCCAACACTTAGGAAGTAGTTGCTGTAGTGTTATGCTGGCTAGGAGGAAGGACATTCCTCCCAGGACATTCCTCCTCTCCCTAACCTTGCTATCTCACCAAAGGGTAAGGAAATACAATCAAAAGGGGTCAAGGCTTCAAGGAAATAGATTGGAAATACTGCAACCAGAGAGGATGTACAGGGGAAAGAGACAAAAATCTATACCACTTTAGAAGCATGAGAGATCTCAGCCCCCATACACAGTCCGACTGACACAAATTTAGTTGGAAGATTATACAATGCACCACCTCTGCCACCATACCAGCAGGGCTTTGGTATGTCAAAGAAAAAGAAGCCATACTCTGTTAAATAATGTAAGGAGGTTTATTCTGAGCCAAAGCCAAGAAACCTTGAGCAACTGGTGGTGGGGTTACAGTTTGGTTTTACACATTTTAGGGAGACAGGGATTACAGTGAGGTCATAAATCAATACATGGAAAACATACATTGCTTTGGCCCAAAAAGGTGGGACATCTGGAAGCAGGGAGCTTACAGGTTATAGGCAGGTTTACAGATTCTTTAGAAGACAATTGGCTGAAAATTAGGCTCCCTCTAAAAGACCACCAGTGAAAAGGAATGCTTAAGATAAAGGGTCAGTTAATTAGAGAAAAAATACCTGATAGACTCAAGTGGTTTGTTCTGTATATTGCAAACCTGCAGTTAGGTCTTTCATGGCCTTAGGCCTGTTATGAGTCACAAAGGACATCTCTAAGAAGGAGAAGGAGGCATGATGAGGTATATCTGATCTCCTTTATCAAGGCAAACAACTCAGTTTGGGGAATCCTCTTGGCCAAGAGGATATCCAATCAATAGCTGAGGAAAGAGCCTTAAGTATATATTTTAATTCCCAGGTACAATAACACTGGATTACAGCAACAGAACCACAAGACCCAAATTCCCCGAATGGAGTGTTTAGGAAAGTTCAAAATCCAGAATGGAGACAAAAAGATACTCAAGGAATTTGAAACCTCTGGCACACATGGCTAGCTGATTCCTAGCCAAGATAACACAACTATAGCAGCATATTAAAGAATTATACACCATGACAAATGGGATTTATCCCAGACATCCAAGATATGTTCTACATATGAAAATCAATTCATATTAACAAAATATGGACAGGGACCATGTTTTTCTTGATGTAGAAAAAGCAATTCACAAATTCATCTATTTCTAGTTTTATAGAGATTTGGATTTAGCGCTTCCTATTTCACTGGAAACAGT